GATTTTACCTATATGCCATGGGGATAAAACGGAGTCGAGAGTGGTTTAACGTCAAAAGTGCAAAGTTTAACTTAAAACCATGGCGTTTAACAGTAAAACGTCGACAAGTCCAAGTGGTGCTTTCATCGTGTTGATGCGCTACAGTAGCCTCTCTTTGGCACAATGGGCAATTCACATGTGTGAGATTCGTGGTGAAGGTACAATTACGATTATAATTGCTGCAGCGAGCCCAGGCTGGCGTCGCATCCGTGAGCCACAAGGCCCTACACGACGCGTGCAGCAGCGATATGGATTCGAATCACGTCTCTGGTGCGATGGGTGGTCGTGTGATGGGTCCGTCCCAACAAAATGCACCACCACGTTCCCCTATGACGTTTCGGACGGTGCCAAACGCGAGTGTTCTCTGGGTGTCTCTTCCCGACTGAATATACTGTAAGGTGTACAGCGTAGCCAAAGTGTTCGACCGGCGAAGAAAGGTGGGCTAGTAGTGGTGCACATGACAGCACAGAGGCGCCTGACGGGCGAGCGCGGAATGCCATCCATCTACTCACCACACGTCTTGCGTTGGTCAACCCGCACGTCGCGTGGATTTCCACAATGTGATGCTCGTGCCTCAACGATTGTCACCACGCCGACCGAAGTGGTCGACCAAGCACTAGTGACATCAACCCGCGACTCCTCAACAACGTCGATGCCACGAGAATCACACAACAACGACACGTTGCTTGCACTGGCGGATGCTCATTGCGTGGTGGACCTGACAGGCAAGTGGCGACGACTCAAGTTGTCACCGCCTTCGCAGTGTCGCAACCTCCAACTCTATCGCGGCGCGTCAACTCAAGGACGTGGCCGAAGCGGGATGGTCGAGCGTTCGATGTATGCGAAAACGTCCGTCGTGGCGTCCCTCGCTGCTGTCACAACACTCCTACGAGGTGCTAACCCACAGTTCAACCTTGCGTTCCATCGCGATACCGTTGAGCACGTTACGGTGGCGTCGATCCATCGCTCCCCAGCACACACCGTCAGCTTTCTGCATGATACACTCATGCATGCGAATGCTGCGTGTGACCTCTTCTATCTGCAGGTACTGACGGATGTCTCGACTTGGTGTCTGATACAGCCATTTGCAGTGCCAAGAAACCTTGGAACTGAACGACAACCGACAAGGGTTTGTGTCCGCCATGCACTCTGCATGTCGTCCTTCATGCCATGGCACAAGACTGGTTGGTTTGAAACCGGCACTTCCGCGAGCCTCCCTACGCCACTCCGGCATCATCGCCGTCGAATCGCCTCTCCTTCCAGGGGTAGTCGACATCGTCTACGTCCTCCACATGGCTTTCGATCCTCCCATGGCTGCAACTTCGTGTGACAAGATCATGTTGCAACGACTCTTGAGTCTGCAGTGCATCGCAAAGTTCGCCTCACCCCGCGGCCTGCGGTGGCTCAACAAGCTTCTGCCGGCATGAACGTGGCGGAATAAATATCGAATTCATTTATTGAAAGATAGTTGTTCCAAGATCGGTGCATTTTCTACACCAACCTCCATTGAAGTAAATGAATCGTCGAACGCTTCATCTATTCATGCGGGCATCCACATGCAAGGCGACTCAGCACGCACAATAAAGAATTTACATCAGACTTCGCGGGTCTCTAACGACTCTCGGAGCAAATCGTCCGTGGATCTGGCACACTGCGAGTGGAGGGTGGCATGCAAGCCACTGGCGACGGAGCTTCGGAACGAGTCCAGGGGGTCGAGCCAGTCCAAACCTGGGGCGTCGCCACGGGGGGCAAGCAACACGTCGTGGCTGGGTGACGGCAAGTTGGAGTTCGAGATGTCACGGCCGAGCCAGTCCTTGGTCAGCGACGGCCCTCGGGGGTTCGAAGCACTGTTGCCGTTGGATTGCCTGGGACCGTCGAGATGGGGAATGCGGGGCAATGGCAACGGCTCAACATCTTCATCTTCTTCGTGGATGATTGACGTTGACGTCGAGCGGAATCCGATGGTGCTGCTAAAACGCATCGGCGGCGTCGGAGGGGGTGGTTGCCTTCGTTTGAAACTGCTGCCGGATCGAGGCGACACAGAAGTGGCGTCTCCAAGGATATCTGAGTCCCGAGGGGTCGCCCCAACGCGGCGAAGCGGCGGTGGGTTTTGCATTGACGGCGGCCGATCCTTTGACTCGGTCCCAGGCAGCATGAGGACTGGAACAGTCCACGGCTTTGTCAAACCCGTGATTTCAATGGTGCCGTGTCGCGTACCTTCCGTGAGAATGGATTGCATGAGATCGTTGTCGCCGACATTGCAGATGGAGCACACGCGAATGTCTTTAAAGCCAGGGACATGTAGTTCAAAGTCTAGTGTATGGGAACACGCTGAACACACAACCTGCCATGGACGAGTCAGTATGTCGAGGGAGGAGGTTGTCTGGGTACCGCGCCACACAAGCGGCACGCGTGCTTCTTGCCGAGGAGTGAAAACTTTTTGCAGCAATGCGCGCAGTGCTTGGCGTTGTTGGAGGACAGCTTGCCCCCACTCCCATCAGACACAGCCACCATGCGATCAATCAGCTCGAGCTTCCGAAAGTACTCGTGGAGGTACACGATGTTGCTCACGCGGCCTTGCATGATTGTATCGGACACTTGGACGGGCATCCCGGTGCCCTTGAAACCCGCTTGCATCATATGAATCACGCGAAGCTCTCCTGGTGTCGTTGTCTCCGTAACGACGTAACTACATTCCAACGCAGTTAGGAGTGCCTCACAGCATGGGCTCAAGCATCGACACAACAGCGGACAGGTCATGGGCGTGGGTGCACATGGACGTACCCTGTTCGGTAGAAACTGCCGCGAATGATGTTGTGCGACTCGGCGAAGGCGGGGAAGTCGGGCAGCGCAATCGAGTGCATGTTCGATGCCCACCCGGCACGACCGCCAACTCGAATGGTGTTCTGGCACTCGAGGTAGACAAAGTCTCGCATGGGGATGTAGGGGGATGCAGATTTGAGCACCATCCACTGAAGGCGAATCTTAAGGCGGTCGATGTACTTGAATGTTTTGAGGGTGGATTTCACCAACACGTCACTGTTCAAATTTGTCTTGATGTCGCTCGCGAGGACAGACCCGCGAGTGCTTCCATGTAAGACATCGATCACGTCGTCTAATGGAGCGAACACAGTTGTCACGCAGCACATGAACCTAGCGTTGCATCAGCGTCGACATGGCAACGGGCCAAGGCATGACGTACCGCACATCATGTGTCGACACTGGGTTATGCTGCAGTTTTCCCGTGTAAAACTGCAAACGTGGGTCCATTGACTCCATCTCGGTCCATTGCACACCGTGCTTGTTGTTCCGGAGCAGTCGTGACGCGTACACCAAGTCTGTGCACGTCATGTGGGCCACGGCCTTGAGTTGTTGCGTCTGTTCCACAGTGAGTTCTGGGCACTTGGGCGTTGGTGGTGGCTTGACATTGCTGCCCTTGGGCGAATATCCAAAGCCGAATGCCATTTCGTTTATAGATCGACAACGGCGGAGCGGCGGCGGCAGCGACGAGCGCTCGGGCAGATGCGGACGGTTGCCAAATGACACCTAAAGGTCACCCAGGAGGAGGGATGTTCATACACGACCATAATTGCTGTATGATATCATGTACGACTATCTGGTCGTAGAGTGGTCGTTGCGATGGCTTCATCCGTTTCATGATAACGAAACCTGCGACCAATCGATCATGACATCATGTGGACAACGACGATACGACTGAAAAGTCAAATCTGTTCAGGGCAGAAATTTATCATATTTACATGGGATTGTATATGTTGTGGAAACCCTCTGATGCTCAACCGGTCGGTGGTAGAAGTTGTGCGATTGATTCTACTACTTGACATGGTGGCGACTTGTATTAATTAAGGTGGCGCGAACGAAATGTAATACTGTGATTTATACAAAAACCCAGTCAAATGGTTCAATGATTAGCAAAGAAATTCGTGGTTTTGGCACTTTTCCACAAATTTTTCAGCAACATGGGGAAACCGTTTGGAAAATAATACACCCGCGGCAATGAACCGTCGTGTTGGGTGCGATAAATTACCAGCATCGACCCTGGAGACAGCAGCGCTCAGCACTCGAGTACGTGCTTGTAACAGAGGTTGACGATGGCCAAGCGGGTTGATTCTTGCTCGGGGGATGCGGCGACCTGCAGCCGCTGCACTGCGAGTGCATACAACGGGTCCTTTCCATCTGGCTCAACGTACTTGACTGTGTCGATGTCCTCTCGCCGTCGTCTTGCAGACGAATGCGGTGCAACGAGGAGTTGCGCAAAAAATCCTGGGGGTTGCAACTTCAAGGTGTAGCCTTCGACCCCTTGATTGTTGTCTTCAGATGAAAGTCGTTGTTGGTCGGTGGATGTCGACGACTCTACATCTTCGTCTTCGTCCAAGTCTGGCAAGGTAGCAAGGACAATGGCGGGTTTCGTCGTGCTCGAAAACTGCTTGGTGTTGGATGAGGACGGCGGAAGCAAGATGCTCGCGTCATTGATGCCACCAATGGACTTGTCACTGAACGAATCACAGTCATTCGCTTGGTTCGTCATGATCTGGTCGACTTTCCCGTTCATGATGCACACAGTGCACACCGAGTTTTCTGCATCAACAAGCTGGCAGCAGTTCATGCATACCACCTGAAACATTTCGTAATTGAAACCTTGGCATCCCTCTGAAGCACGTACGTGATTGCATGTAATGCAAGGTGTCGACGCTAGGTAGTCACGGCACAGTGGGCACGGTACAGCATCTTGCTCTTCATGCGACTCGTTCAATTCATCTTGTCTCGCCTGGAAGTGTTCGCGGATCGAACCGGCAATCATCACGCGGGACTTGAGCATCAAGTTCGTCAAGTTGGCGTTCATCTCGCCTAGACGCGTGAAATGAGCGCGCCATGGTAAATTTGAAAATGGAAAAAACGCGCGAAATAAACAACCAGTCAAGTACCTTTGAAGTCCATGTCCATGATGCACACGACTTGCAGAACATTCGGCGCTTCCGTCTCTCGGAAGACATACCCTGCATGAAGGAAAGTCAGGTCTCAGGAAGATCTAAAGGGGATGCCAGCCATACCGCTGCGATACAAACTACCGCGAACGTATCCGTCAAGTGGAGGGCATCCAGGAAGTTGAACAGAGTGCATGGAGCAAACCCATCCGCGACGCTTGACCTTTTCGTCGAAAATCGTGTCTTGGCACTGCGTTGAGCGATGAGGAACACGTGTGTGGATAGAACGGGACTCAAACGTGTGCACCTCTAAGAATACGAAGTCGCGGTCGTCCATTTCCTTGATCGTCGACCCCAATCGCATCCACTTCAGTGAAATGCAGTGCCTCGGCGCGCTCGACGTTCGTTTGCGGATCTTGTACAGTGTTTTCGTGTTGAGAATCTCTCGTTCGAATGCATTGAATGACGTCTGTGAGCATGATCATCGTAATATATGAGATGGTCTGAAGAAAGCGACGCCTTGTACCTTTGAGCCGTCGTTCTTCATTTTCTGGAGGGAAGGCTTGCTGTGGAAGATGTCCACGACGTCGTCGATTGAAGCAGGCACGTATGTGACGCCACAAAGGTACTTTCGCATGCTGCTGGTTGTTTTGACTTTGCGCGACTCGCTTGCTTCGTTGGCTTCGCCGATGTAAATATCCACTCCGTCCTTGTGTCCGATGGGCTCCCACGTCACGGAGCTGGACGCGTCCATTCGCGAAGCGCTGGCAACACGTGCGCAAGTCTTCCTGGCCACTTGCTTGAGGTACTCGACATCTTCGTCCGACAACGTCTCGGCGAAAGCTCGGGCTTCCGGCTTGTGCATTAATACTGCAATTCTTCTTTGGCCAAGCATTGGCAGATTTAGGCACGACGAAACTGACGACGACAAAATGCATCATGTCCTACAAATTTAGGAGAAGGTCGAACGAACAGGGACAACCAAAACTGGTCGTAAGTTGTAGAATTTGAATTTTGTATGTAAGACCAACATAAAATAGTACTGGTTTCACTATGTATATGGCAACTGCCATCTCGGCCCTACGACACGGAGACGTCGCACTCTCCCATGACAAAACCTTCGTCACCATTACACCACCCCCGCCAAGGGCAAGCAGCATCGCATCGTGTGGAGTTCAGCGCAACTTTGTTGCGCTAGACGTACGCTGTAAGCACTGCCCTGCGCAGAGTTCACTGGCCCTGGATAGACAAGAAGCCCTCTGAAGGGCGACATTGAAGCGCCATGCCATGGTGCTTGCCCTGGCCCAATAATGTCGCCGAACGTGTGAGATGCCAACGCTGCTTTACGTCGACTTGTGTTCCATGATGCTGTGACTCCATCCGAGGAGCCGTCTAAGTCAGGTGGGCCCTGGCGCTTCATCGAACGCAGAACTTCTTGGCGCGACACGTTTGCAGCACCACTTACATACTTTCGAGTGGCGGATGGGATTGCCACTGTCCATGATATTGGTAAACGTATGCGGAATTACGTGTCTCGGTACGATGTCTGCCGCCCCTCGGCCACTATAAATAGACCACGACTCGCGTCGTCGTGTGTTAGTGAGAATCATAGGGCAATGGGGGACAGCATCGAATCGTTCCGTCTTGCGGCGGAGCGAGCGCTTCGAGACCAACGCGTGCAATTCGACATGAAACAGCGAGAGGAAGACTTGGTGCGCCTGCAGGCTGAAAACGCAGACATGAAAGCCAAAATGAAGGAATTGAAAGCGTCCATGGATGCCAACATCGAAGACAGGGAACGCGTCATTCTGTACAAGGTCAAGCGGATCGATGAGTTGCAGGAGAAACTCACTCGGTAAGCCTTGCTGGCGTCGATGGTGCAGATACGCATGGAAGTCATAGACTGGAAGCCGAAGAGGCTGGCCGGATGGACCGCGCTGTGCGCCACGTTACGGAACAACTCGCGACTATCACGGCCGAGCGAGATGTGCTACGTACCAAATGTGTGGCCAGTGATGCCATGCTCAAAGACATGGAGGCATTTCAAGCCGTCAAGAGCAACCTCGAGGCAGAACTGGCACGATTGCAAGCGGAAAATACGCGGATCGAGACGTCCTGCGCCGCTCGGTTGCGCGAACTCGAAGTGAATCATCTCATGCACCTACAGCGGCTGAAGCGAGAAAAGGACGACGATGTCATGCGAACGCGGCGCGAGATGGAAAAGGCCATGCTGGACGGGTAGGACGACGCATGCCTTGGGGCGAACATGACGTTGGCATTGGTAGCCTCGACGGCACGACCCGCCGAGCCGTACTAGAGAACGAAAAGCTCACCCTCGAGTTGAGCTACCAGTCGTCCAAGCTGGAAAAGATGATTACACAAAACGAAGCACTGAAGCGGTCAAAGGTCGAAAGCCGCAACAACACGGATGTATGTTACACCAGAATGTGCCACGTGGATGGATTTCTATTGGCTGAGATTTGGGTGACTTTTGTAGATATTGACGGAAATGACAGAAACGTTGTCGAAAAAGGTGAAATTTTATGAAAAATTGTTCCAGTACGCCTCAACACCTCCTCCAGCCCACCACCAACTCGATGTTCATCCGTAGAAAAATGCACCAGAAAGAGCGCATGGCCGTCGAACAACAGCTCGTTGCTGCCCAAACAAAAGCCAACGGACAGCGCGAGAAAGCCAACGTGCTCTTGCACGCACCAGTCAAGCCTTCACAGTTGCAACCGAGCTGTACAACCACCGATGATCCGAAAGGCAACAAGGGCTCAACTTGGCAAGAAGCACTCGATTCTCACTTGGCCGAGAGGTATAAGGCCAAACGTGGAATCGACGTTGTCGTCCAGTACAACCAATTTCTCCAAGTAAGGCCGAGGAGAGACTGCACTTGGAACCAACTCACGTGCCGTGGATGGTGCAGAATGGAATGGATGCGAACGCGTCTGGAAAGTCGACATACGCATCAAGTCTGGCTGCACCGCCTCCACGAATCAGTCGTCGTGCCGCACCTGTATGTATGCCTCTTTTGTCATGCGTTGGTCTGATGTACATGTTCAGGTCCGTTATGCGCCACAAGTGATTGAATCCATACGACTGCCGCACATTGTCGACACGGGCGATAGGCATTACATTCCCAAGGCAGAGTACCTCGAGTCGACATCGCCGCCCCGCCCACCGCGGCGAGCGGATGGGTCGTACACTGCCAGGACCTAACGGAGTGCGCTGCAACGAACATCAATCTTTCCTCTTTTCCTTTTCCATTCCAATGGCCCCTCCGCC